ACACAGACACGCACACACACACACACAGACACGCACACACATACGCACATGCACACACACGCACACACACACACAATTACTTTTGATTAATTACTGAACAATTAATCAGACAAAAAGCAGAAATAAAGTGTGTAATTTCATAATTATTATATGATAACATTTATTTTTATATTAATAATATAATATTTATTTCTTTATGCAATTAAATGTATCTTTGTTATAACAATGTTAGTTTTTAAATACATTTTTTAGTTTAATTAGTTTTTGTTCATTTTTGAATTAGATTTGATTTATTATAATTTATTATATTTTCAGTTTTCATTTCAATTTGAAGTTTTAGAATTAGAATTTAAGTTTTATTTATTCGTTTATTTTTTTATTTATTAGTTTGAGTTATTTTAGCACTTCAACTTAAATTCAACAAACATTTGAAATGTTGACAACTGATACATTTTTATTATAGATTTTATTTCAGTTGTTTATAATGTTTATTTTATTTCAACAATATATATATATATATATATATATATATTTGCTTTTAATTTTTTCTTAAATTTTCTTGCTATTTGTCTCAAGTCACAGCCTACAATAATACAATAAAATGTTGTAATAGTAATATATTAGAAAATACTGTGCATTTTAATACAAAAATATATTAATGAAATAATTTAAACATGATTTACACAATAATTTAAGTGTAATTTAATAATAAATAATTTACACAAGCAGAAAATGTTGGTAAAAGTGATTTCAGTTTCTACCTTGCACTGTAATTGACCGTCCTGATAGGTCCAGATCTGCTCAGCTCCGCCCCTTTCCTCGCTCACCTGGATACGCATCAGTTTGATGTCGTCCAATGAGCCGCTGACGGACATCAGTAGCCCCGCCTCTTTGCTCCGCAGACGGAAATGCACTTGTTTCTGCGCCAGTGAAAAACAAACGCTGTGAGATTCAAATATACTGTAAATATTGATCCATCTCTCGTCTAGACACTCTGATAGCCCCGCCCCCAGCACTCGCGATTGGCTACAGGAGCTGCAGTGGGCGGAGCCTCTCACCTGCATGAGCGGCCGAAGCGATCCGATTCGCAGCCAGGAGGAGAGTTTGGGCCAATCAGGAACAGCGCCGGGCTTCAGCAGCAACTGAGAGCCTCTGAAGTTATGATCCTCGTACAGAACCCACCTGTCAATCAACACACACACACACACACACACACATTTTGATTTAATTTTTTTCTTCAATTTTCTTGCTTGTCTCAACAAGCAAATACTCACTAGACTACAATAAAATGAATAATTCATGAATAACAGTAATACTATTTTAAATTAATTTG